TCACTAATAATTTGTCAAAGTTACAAATTGGACAAAAAAAAGTACCCTCTAGTGATGGGAAGTTCGTATCATTTTACTGACTCGGATCTTTGAGTCTCGTTCATCAAGATGAAGATGAACGAATCTTTTTTCGAGTCATTTCGTTCATTTGGTTCAATTTGCCAAAATTTTATTAAAATGTTACAAATTGCTTCTAAACACATCTACAACTAGCCCAAATGGTTGATTGCACGACAAATAAGTCATAAATAGAATATGTGAAGGAGAAAATAATATCTCAATGTTTACCTGCTCTTTTGTCTATGAAGGCATTGTTGTCTCTTTGCTCAGCTCACCTTTTTATGTCTTGATGATTGGCTCGTGATGAACGAGTGACTCAGACCCGATAGCGGACTCGAGAGGTGGGCGGATCAATTCTTTTTCCGGCTCTAAACACATATGATTGGCTTCTGCCAATGTGATGAAGACTTGAAATTAATGATACTACCTGCACAAATGTGCACATGCGCAGATGAACGAATCACTCCCTGAGAGGACTCGTAGTTCCCGAGTCAAACTAAAGATTCATTCAAAATGAACGAATCGTTCATGAACGACCCATTACTAGTACCCTCACACAGTCACAGGCCTCAAAAAACACTTGCAAAATGATCAATTATAATCCAGACTCAACATTGCATGTACTCGCGATGTGACTATTGCGAATGATCACATTGTGATATCGATGCTGAAACAATATATTGTGCAGCACTAGTAAACAAAGTACACAAATGAATTACATTAAAAATTGTCATTTAAAATAACTTTTAATAGCTATATTGTCACACAGAGCAGATATCTGAGTTAGGAATAATACATTTGCAGTGTTACTGTTTTTTTCTCAAATATTTGTTTAAATTAATCAAACTTTGGTGAGCATTAGAGATGTTGTTCAAACACAAAACCTTATGTAATTACAGTCTAGATAGTAAATTTCAAGCCAATATATATATCCAGAAAAGAAAGTTAGTCGCTTCATCTCATTAAGCAAATGTAACGCTCAAACCATGTCGTAATTACTGTAATTACACTATCCCAACTTGAAAAGCTTCACGTCATTGTACAACTCGTAATTACTGCTTGTGAACTGGGATTTCTCTGAATCCTCCTACTTGTATAACACGAGGCATTGCTGTAAAATCCCATTTCTAGGGCTAAGGGTGTAAACAACCTCGCCTAAAAAATAATAAAACATGATGTTGAAATTACACTGTAAAAAATGCTGGGTTAATGCTGGGTTAAGTCAAATAACTTATTAGTTTTTACAGATTTAAGTTGATTAAACATAAAACTATTAAGTTTTCTCAAAAAAACAAAAAAATTAGTTGATTCAGCTGATTTTAAATAGATAACTTAAACAAGCAACAAACATTGTGTTTTTTAGTGTACATGAAATAGCATCAATGAAACATTCAATTGTTGTTCTTCAGATTTGCCAATATATAACAAGGCATTTGAACATGTTAGTCTTTTTTTTTTTTTTTTGGTTTCATTTCATTTGTCTACACTGCAGCTTACAATAGCATTATCTGCAATGGCTACTGTCCTCCATTGAATTCTAAGGCTCGTGCTCTGTTTTATAGGTGTCCTGTGTTTACACAGGCGATCTGAGCGGGTCATGTGATCAGTTGATGTCATGACTCATGTGTCATTTGCGTTCCCCTCACTCCACGCCAAATGCAAACAGTCCTTACACTTCTTTGCCTGAATCCACGCCTCTGCCTGCTAATAAAGCCCTATTGTTTCAGTCCAAGTCGGGTGTTGTGATGTAATCATGATGTGATATAGCATTAAAACAAAATTAGGCTTTTTTTGGATAGGTTTTAGGATTTGAGGATATTTCATTCCTGCTGATCCTGCCATCCAGTGATTTGGCTTGCAAATATCCTTATTTTTGGCAAACCTGCAGTGTGAAAATATGATTAGGCCTTTGAGAGAACATCTCTTTTTTATATATATCGCCAGTCTTGGAGACTGTCCATTTATGTGTCAGACAAACAGTTGTGTGGTGAGAGATTTATAGATTAGCTTGTTTTTTTTCCTTAAGTCTACTCAATACTGATAACATATTCATTCCAGATTAGTTATGCAATCGATGGGTCATGAGAGTTGAAATTAAGGGTCAGAGAATCTAAACTGGGAAAGCCTCGGTCCTTGTAGCGTTTCTGAAAGAAAGCTTCTGTTCATTTATCACAAGACATCTACTGAGAACAGTTATATCAGCTAGTATTACATTTTTATTCGATTTTCAATAGTTATATTTAGATAAACAAACATTTTTACATTTGTTGTTGTGCAACAACACATTTCTTTAGCTAGTCTAATTCTTTTCAAGTTCATGATCATTGTGAAACTGCTTATTTACAACCTTAAAGGACCTGCAAAAGCTTATGACACATTCACTTACTTTGTGTATAAGACTTTATTCAGTAAGCCATTGAGAACACTTATGCAAGGACAATAAGGAAGTATATTTTAGCAGTGTGTTAAGTAGTGTTGCTGTGTGGTTGATAAGGTGTTATAAATGGCTACTCAGATGTTATCTTGTGGTCTGAGTGACAAAAAAACAAGCCCTCTCAAGTTGTTCTGGCTAGTTGATTGGGTGTTGCTGTGATATTTCAGGGGATGTTTTTCCTCTATAAGACCATTTTCAAATTTAGAGTTTGAATTTTAGCCGATTTCTTTTTATTTAATTTTTGTCCTGACAACACTAAGCAAAATAACATCTTTTGTAGTAGTGTAACGGATTGATTTTGACTTCAACTGAAGGTGTTTGCTTCACACGAAAAAAAACACTATCGGTTGAGTTTAGCGAAGGGTTTAGGTAAGTGGTTTGTTGGTCTAGGTGATCTGTATGATAAGCCCTGCCCTCTCATCAATGTGTACAAGAAGGATTTGTTTCTGAAACATGGATCAAAACATGCCTTCACTAATGTATTTTAGATCAGCCCAGGCTCATTCTGAAAACGTAGTCCAGCAGAAGTTTCTGTAGACCGCGAAATACGTCCCGGGAGGTACGTTTGGCTGCATTTCATTTTTTTAAGCGGACGCTACGGGGCGGTGTGTAGCCGTTCCCTTTCGCGCTTGCCGGCTGAACGCTTACCTCCGTGTGAAGGGCTTTCCCGCCACAGTCAGTTTGTCCGGTCAGCTCATCGTGTGCGTCGGTGGACTTCAGATGCAGAGAGGAGGAGTTGACAAAGGCGTCCGGGTTCAAGTCCAGAGAAAAGCGGTTCCAGAAACCAGGTAAACAAAAACAGAATCCAAAAAATAAAGCGAACAAGTTCATAACAGGGTGAGAACATGGTGAAATCCGAAAACGTAGTTAAAAAAAAATAAAAATAATAACAGACTAGGGTTTTTCTTTTTCTAGACGGCTTTTCTAAATTGTTGCTCGGGTTTAGGGAAGTGAGCGGGCGGGCGGGTCAATCTGTAAAACTGGTTGGGTTCAGGGAAGGAGGAGGGTGGGTCAGCCGATTGGCCGGTTGGCTCAGACAGCGGCCTCTGGTGGCTTGACGCCAGAACAGCGCGGGCGCGAACGGCACTCGCGAGAGACGTTTGAGATATGAAAAAGCGCACACAGCGGCCTCTTGCGGATTCGCGAAAACAAAAACTGCACAAAAACGTACCTCCCGGGACGTATTTCGCGGTCTCCAGAAACGTCCGCTGGACTACATTTTCAGAATGAGCCTGGGTTGATTTAGATTCACAAAAATGTAGACACTGCCATCTAGTGGATTTGTCATCTGAAACGTGCAACAATATGTACCTGGAGCAATGTCATTTATGTTTTGCAAAAATGTAGGCAGAGAAACATATTGCCAGTGAACCTGGGCTGTAAATAAGCAAAATAAATGAGCAGGGTGGAAATTGCTTATGAATGCATGCTTGAATTTTACTTTTGGGTTAGGGTTAAGGTTAGATATTTTTAAAGTTGTGTGTGTAGAGAGTGTACTGAGTGCAGATTTAGCAGGAAGCGGTATTTGTCAGTGCATGTGCATAGACTATTTACTAATTTAAAGCTTTAAAAGAGGACATCACAACAAGATATGTGCAACATTTTTTTTTTGGATATAAAAATCTATACTTTGTTTTAAATCTCATTTTGTTACACAAAGTTGAGTGAATCAAAGTTACAATCAAAGTTGGATCAAAGTGATATATTAGCACAGCTCTGCAGTTCACAAATGACTTGTCAACAGATACCACATTTTACTATGATATTTAATGACATTTGATAAAGCTGCACGATTCTGGCTAAAATTATAATTTTTTTTGCTTAAAACCAAGATCATGATTTTCTCACGATTCTGTAGATGTAAAATAAAGCTTAATATGAGATTATTGTTTTTTCTCAAACATATGGGAAAACATCAATATTTATAATATGTGTAGGTCTACTGGTTTCTATAAATAATAATATTTTACTTAATAATTCTGATGTTGAATTATGTATATATATATATATATATATATATGCTATTATTTATAGAATGACTATGATATTTTACATTTGATTGTTACATTTCTGTACTTGAAAACTGTTAGACTACCCAAAAAAATCATAAATGATTGTTTAATTATTTATTTTCATTGTAATTTATTAGAATTTATGCAGATACACTGCATAAATTATGGAATATTTCCAAATAGAGCTAATTATAGCCATATTGTAATATATATCGCAGCAAAACAGTCGGACAGCCCTAGAATACACTTTACATTTTGTGCAGAAGATAAAGAATGAATTGTAAAACCCTAAAGGTATAGCACTTTATCTGTCAGTCCAGTGCTAAAATGTCTGAAGTTGCTCATAAAACCGGTTAATGTACAAAGTATAACAGGGCTCAGCGTTTATAACTCTGCCTGCTGTATATCCGATCACCTGCAGCCCTGACACAGATACAAGCAAATCAGCAAAAGCCCTGAAAACAATAGCGATTAAGCAATATCCTCTTTTCCTTCCGAGCCATGCCTCGAGAATCAGGACTCTTACGCACTTGCCTGCGATTGTTTGTTTGTTTTGTGGGCAGAGCCTTAAGAAGAACAGCCTGCCTTAAGAAAGATTTCGTGATTAATTGCAAATCCGTCTTATTTGATATTAGTGGTTACTGTGAGTACAGAAAGAGCATTGAGCCACTTTCCCAACTAGTTGCTGTGCTGCTTGGGTTGCAGTTAGTGTCATTGAGGTATGTACAACTCATTTCTCATTTCTCTAAGCAGCCAAATATGGGGTCTCCATGCAGCTTTTCTTAGTGTCTACTTTAAGCTACTTTTTCATGTCTGTGTGGTAGACTAATCAAAACCTGCAGTAATTCTCTTAAGAAGGCAACGTTTCCTAACTAGCAACTCTTTCTCCTTTTAGCAGAGAAACGAGTTTGTTGAGTTTATTAACTGGAAAAGGCTACAGTGTGTACATCAGCCGTTGGATTTGAATATCTTGCAGAGTCTGTTTTATAACACGGCGTCAGTGGTGTGTGGGCATGTGAACTGTCGCTTCTGGAATGATTGAGCCTCGCACAGTGCATTAGCTGCTTAAAAATAACCTTAATCGTTCACTTATTCCATAACCGTCATAAACATATTCTTTCCATCATTGTTTGCTTTCATTTGCACTTTATTTCCTTTGCCCGTGTCTTTCACTTTCAGTATCAGTCACTGACAGACCCCTGACTCCTACTCATGAGTTATTTATTCTTCCTGTCCTAGACGTCTGGAGTCATTTTAGGCTGGATATGCACTTAAATGAACAACAGTGCAGTTTATAAGGTAAGGATAAGAGGTTAGTTATGAACTTGGGGGAGTTGCTTTAAAGGAACAACGCACTGTACTTTGTCTACAGTGTCGTACGTAGAGTAATAATATGTAGTTCTAAATTACTAATATGAACTTTTTTGCAAATTAAGTTGCAAGAGTAGCTGTTTTAATCTTAACAGTTGTACCGCATGCAGCATAAATGGTAAATCTGAATGCAAAAACTTGGCAGTTGGTATACAGAGTCAGGAATATGAGTGCATGCAGCTTGCATATCCAGCCAAGAACTTGTTTGGGTCATGACAAAACTTAAAAATACATAAAAAATGTCACTGATAAAATCATGCAAATAGAAAATGACGCTTTATTAGTCTTTTTAAATACTTTGTGTACATGTACATTACGTCTATCCATTCATCCATCTATCCATCTGACAATGTAATTTGTCAGTATTCCATCTATGTACACATTCACTTTGCTATTCATCTGAACACCCATCTGCATTCATTCATCCATCCACAATCCTTCCATCCAACCAGCTATATATTTGTCCATTCATCCATACATTCATACATCATCCCTCCTCTTTTCTATCCATCCATCTATCCATCCATCCATCCATCCATCCATTTATCCATATATTTGTTCATCCATCCATTTATCCATATATTTGTTAATCCATCCATCCATTTATCCATACATTTGTTCATCCATCCATCCATCCATCCATCCATTTTTTTATCTCGTCCATCCATTTACCCATCAATTATCTGTTTGTCCATCTATCATTTTTTGTCCATCCATTTATTTATTTATTTGTTTGTCTGTCCATCCCTCCATCCATCCATACATCCATTTTTGTCCACCCATTATCCATACATGCATTCATCCATTATCTACCTATTCATTCATTCATCTATTCATTTGTTTCTACCATCCATCCATCAATCCATCTATCCTTCCATTCATCCATCTATCCATTCATTCACCCACTCATTTGTATCTTTCATCTATTCATTCATCCATCCATTTTGTCATACATGCATTCATCCATTCATATACCCATTCATCCATTCATCTTTTTATTTGTCTCTACCATCCATCCATCCATCCATCCATCCATCCATCTATCCATCCATCTATCCATCCATCCATCCATCCATCCATCCATCCATCCATTCATTCACCTATTCATCCCCCTATTTGTTCCTCTATCATCCATACATGCAATTATCCATCCATCTACATCTATTAATGTGTCTCTTCCATCCATTAATCCATCCATCTATCCATTTATCCATCATTCATCCACCCATTTGTCCATCCATCATCCATTACTTTTTTGTTCATCCATCATCCATACATGCAATTATTCATCCATCAATATATCCAACCATTTATATATTTTTGTCTCTTCCATCCATTCATCCATAAATTTTTTTGTCTTTTCATCATCCATAGATGCATTTATCTATCCATTTAACATTCATTCATTCATTCATTCATTCATTCATTCATTCATTCATTCATTCATCTATTAATTTGTCACTTCCATCTTTCCATCCATCTATCGATCCATCTATCTATCTATTTATCCATCTATTCATCCACCTATTTGTCCATCCATCATCCATTACTTTTTGTTCAACTATCATCCATACATGCATTCATCCATCCATTCATGTATTTATTTGTCTCTTTTATCCATCCATTTATTTGTTTTTCCATCATCTATACATTCATTCATCCTACCATCTACCCATTCATCTTTTTATTTGTCTCTTCCATCCATCCATCCATCCATCCTTTTTTTTGTTCATCCATATATGCACTCATCCATTTATTTACCATTCATCTATTAATTTATATTTCCATCCATCCATCCATCCATCCATCCATCCTTCCATCCATCCATCCATCCATCCATCCATCCATCCATCTATCCATTCATCCATCCATTCATTCAACTATTTCTCCATCCATTAACTATACATTTTTTGGTTCATCCAAAAAATGCATCCATCTACCATTCATTCATTCATTCATTCATTCATTCATTCATTCATTCATTCATTCATTCATTCATTCATTCATTCATTCATTCATTCATCCATCCATCCATCCATCCAGCTAATTTGTTCATCCATCCATCAATCTATCCATCCATTTATTTGTCTATCCATCCATATACTATTAATTTTTTTATCTCTTGTCAATGAATTCATCCATGTTTTGAGTGAAATAAGAACTGCACATGTTTTTGTAACACACTCATTTACAAGAACAGCTTTTTATGATCCCCCAGGCTGTTTACAGCATTATTTATAGAGTGCAGCTATTGTGTTTAAAGAGGAAAAGTATTTAATTTTGCATGTTTTCCATCCTTTGTTTGTTATCAACATCCTGTCAATAAGCAGAACTTCAACTTCTCTAACTCTCCTGAGATAATATACCCTATTTGCTGCATTGTACGTCTACGGTTAAACTGAAATGTTAAACTTGTGTCAGTAGGAAACAGGATTCTCATATCGCTAATGATGAGCTGTTGTGAGTTGCGTCTCTTGCATCAGCAGCTTTGAGTTTTACCAAGAACAGGAACTTCATTTCCTGTTTGATAACGTGCAAAGCACTCACAGCTCAAAGTTACTGTAGCTATATATATTCACACTCATATACCTATATTAGACTTTTATTTATGATTTTAATCAATGTTCGTTTTGTATGTTTAATTTCAATCACAGATGAGTGCAACGGCAGATGAGCCCGGAGGTGAAAGACCTCAAAAAACTGTGGGAAAAGACCACAAAAAGGTATGTGCAATATAAAACAATGTTTTGTCTTTAGTTAGCTGTGATAAAGCAATGAATTAATGTGTTTCTAATTTGGTTCCAAATTAAGTTTTTATGGTTGATGGAGCATAAAATTTATTTAGATTAATTAAAGATGTTAGATGGGAAATGATCTTCTTTTCTTATCTTCTTTACTCTATATTGATCTATGAGCCAGTTGACCCTTTGCTAAGCCACACCCAAAAACCGCCACCCACCTATCGTGGCTTAGCAACCGTAGCTACTTGCTGGGGCTTTGTCAAGCTTTTAAGTGAGGTAAACAAGCGAAATCGCTGTGCATATGGATTGTGCAAATCTGACACCAGATATCCTAAAAGTTTGGACAGGGTGGTGGAATTTTTTCCCTGGTCAAAACCAAAAACCCAAGATGAGAAATGAAAGAAGCGGAGATAAGTCGGTTTTGTTTTGATATTCCTGACACATTCAGTGATAGACGGCAATAACTCACACAACTCTCAGATCTGAGCTGTGTTTCCTACAAAAATACAAAGCAGATTGTGTTTCACAGCTGACTTTTTCTTTTTTTCCGCTCGAAATTATGAACACTGCTCCATTTATGCCATAGTAACATTAGTCATACCAATAGCGAATAGGTCATGAGTTATTGATCTGGAAAATACGAATCTACGAATCTGTTGCTAACTTTACTGAACTTCATATTTCCATCTGTTTCAAGCTACTAATATTTAAAAAATTACAAATCAACAGAACAAAACAGAGATGTGATCACAAACTGAGCACTTGCGATCAATATACTTTACCAGCAGCTGTTTTTAATTAATTTATAAAGAGCACACAATCATACTGACAGTTATAGGTAACTTACTGTACATTGTTATGGGTAAATGATGCTAAGAATCAACACAAAACCATCAATTTCGCCTTTCTGGCTGTTTTTTCTATGAATGAATTATGTAGAAGCTCTGTTCATGCGGGTTTCTCCATCGGTTAGTAACGCTATATTTCATTGCACAACAATTAGTCCATTAAGTTAGGCTTTTTGGCTAAAATAGAGAAATCACCGTTTAATTTGTTATTATTAGATTATTTTAAATTCCACCTCTCCTGTTGAGCATGAGCTAAGCTTTTGAATGGTTAGCGTATGAGGTGGCTAGGCTATGCTAGCTTCAATTTTGATTTAATTATTCTCTAATAAGTTGCCTTTGATGTGGTGAATATACCCCTGTAATGCATACTGCAGTCTTTTTTGTCAGGCTTTCTCGGATATCTCAACTGTTCGCCAAAAATGACTAATTATATCCCTGGGATTCTTTCTGAAGCATACACATTGTTTAAGATGTGCCAGGCACGAAAGCTTGACAGGCGTAACAACAGTAACTAAGGAGGGCGAGGTTTAGTCAAGGGTCAATTACATAGCAGAAATGTGCAACAATGAGAACCTAAAAGTATGTTGATATCGAATTTTTGGCCACCGACATGTAGAAATTGGAGACGTATCATCTTTTGAGATGTATCAAATTCGATACATTCGAGATGTATCAAATTTTCAGCCACACAAAATCTATCGGCCGAAAATGTGCTTTTAATGGACCCTCCTTTTTATGGCTTTAGTCATTGTTTGGCTTTTTTTCAATCTGGAAGTATTAACAACTTATATCGAAATCTGTATATCGTTATCATTCAATGTGGAATATGATCATCGAGATTTCTTTTTTGCCATATCGCCCAGTCGTATTATTTATTCATTCATTTTCTTTTCGGCTTAGTCCCTTTATTAATCTGGGGTCGCCACAGCGGAATGAACCGCCAACTTATCCAGCACATTTTTTGCAGCGTGCACTTCCAGCCCAACCCATCTCTGGAAAACAACATTTAGCCTACCCAATTTACCTGGAAACACCCGGAAGAAACCCACGCGAACGCAGGGAGAACATACAAACTCCACACAGAAACACAGAAAAGACCTTCTTGCTCGTCTCCCACCCTGTCCTATTATATTATATTATATTATATTATATTATATTATATTATATTATATTATATTATATTATATTATATTATATTATATTATATTATATTATATTATATTATATTTAGGCATGGGCCTGTATAAGATTCTGACGGTATAAGAACCTTGGATAAAAATATCACAGTATCACAGTATTGTGATTACTGCTCTAAAATATATTCTTTTTAAATGTCTGGGTAAAAAACAAAAACTAAATTCCCCTTTAAAAACAATACATTTTATGTTTTTAAAGATTTGAAATGGGGCGAGGCAGTGCCGCTGTACGTAGTGCTGTCGCCTCACAGCAAGAAGGTCGCTGGGTCGCTGGTTCGAACCTCGGCTCAGTTGGCGTTTCTGTGTGGAGTTTGCATGTTCTCCCTGCGTTCGCGCGGGTTCCCTCCGGGTGCTCCGGTTTACCCCACAGTCCAAAGACATGTGGTACAGGTGAATCGGGTAGGCTAAATTGTCTGTAGTGTGTGTGTGTGAATGTGTGTGTGGATGTTTCCCAGAGATGGGTTGCGGCTGGAAGGGCATCCGCTGCGTAAAAACATGCTGTATAAGTCGGCGGTTCATTCCGTTGTGGTGACCCTGGATTAATATAGGGACTAAGCAGACAAGAAAATGAATGAATGAAGATTTGAAATATTTTGGAGCGGTAAACATGTCAGGATACTTGTTTGAATAAGGTAATTCAAATTAATTATTGACTTCTGCTGTCTTCATTAGTTTCAAAAATACAGATTTCCTTTCCTTTGTCATGTCCTAAAAATCTTACACATGCCTTAGGAAAGGTATTACAGAAAATTTGGCTGTTTTAAAACCTTGACTTTTCCAAACCGCTGTATACCTTGAAAACGGTTATCGTTCCATACTTTATTATATTATATTATATTATATTATATTATATTATATTATTATTATAATATTGTATATTATATTACATTACATTACATTACATTACATTACATTACATTATATTGTATTATTCATTCATTTTCTTGTCGGCTTAGTCCCTTTATTAATCTGGGGTCGCCACAGCAGAATGAACCGCCAACTTATCCAGCAAGTTTTTACACAGCGGATGCCCTTCCAGCTGCAACCCATCTCTGTTTGGGAAACATTCACACACACTCATTCACACACATACACACACACTACAGACAATTTAGCCTACCCAATTCACCTGTACCGCATGTCTTTGGACTGTGGGGGAAACCGGAGCACCCAGACACGAACGCGAACGCAGGGAGAACATGCAAACTCCACACAGAAACACCAACTGAGCGTTCGAACCTGCGACCCAGCGACCTTCTTGCTGTGAGGTGAACGTGCTACCCACTGCGCCACTGCGTCGCCCTATATTATATAGTATATTATATTATATTGTTTTATATTATATTAATATTTTAAGTATGTCATTAAGATCTCTCTTAAAATAATTATCAATCTCTCTTAAAATAAATGTTAACTTAGCATAGCTCTTCCAAAAGGTTTAGCATTTGTTCTGTTTTTAATATCATTCATGTGTAGGCAAAATTACTTTAAAAAGAGCTCTCATTATTCATTTCTCTAGGCGTCTTTCTCTTGGTGTGTAATATTTTTGCTCAACCCGACATTTTGCTCTGTGGCACAATGTAGCGTTTGTGCTGTGAGCTCCTTTGGGATTTAGTGGGATTTGATTTTTGCATATCCCACTCTGATTTGTCATACTTGCGGTCTGAAATACTGTTTTCCTGCTGACTGTTACATAACAGTGAGCACACTATATAGCCATGTGCCATGCAATGTGTAACATGAACAGGAGGCTCATGATTTTAGGATATTAGGGATATTCACATTGGATGTTTGCCCACTAAATGGCTTGCAGGGTTTAGGGATTTGTGTCACTTCCAGGATAGAAATACTGTAAGTGAAATAACAGAGGATGGAAATAATTGGACAACTTGGATTGAGGGAACTAAGTCGCACAACATAATACTTATTACATACTTATACAACATCTATAGTTTAAACTCCTTAATGACCACAGCACAATTCTTGTTATAGAAACGCATTCACTAGTCATGACTAGTCAAGATATTCACATTAGTTGTCGCCAACGCTGTTGTTGTATATTGAAAGGAATGCATCAATAGATCCACCATTTTGGTACAGGGTAGCACTCCTTTAAAATGAATGTGGGACCAAGGTGCAGTGGAGGACTGGCCATCCAGAGCCATAGACATATACACATATATACATATATCTATGATCTGAGTTTTTCCCGGTGGTCATTATGCAAATATTTTTTAAATTACAAAAAATATATAATTTACATTCCTTTTCTACATCAAGGGATTAGTGACAAGTGCATTGCCGACAAAAAGCATGTGTTTGTGTGCATGGAAATGAAATTGTTATTAATAGAGTTATGTGTAAATCATGGAATAATAATTTATGCTAACTGTTATATGTTTATATATTTATGTTATAAATATATTTGTAAAATAAAAAATATAACAAAAACAGAATTCTCTACAGAGTAATGAACATGACTTGTGACAACTGCTTCACTGTTCTCTATGCTTTTATTTTGCTTTAATTATGTTTTAATTGATGTTCAATTCATCTTTGCTTCCTTCTTACGTCATTCTACTGAATCACACACTTCTGTTCTGTTTGTTGACATACAGTGATAGAAAATGAATATAATGTCTAAAATATATAAGTCCAAAACCATCATTAAATGTAAAAATTATTTGTATTACAAACATAGAAAAAAAAATTATTTATGTAAATAAAATTTTTAATTTCCTTTGTTTTTTTTGTTTTTTTTGGCCAAAATATGATGAAAAATTTCCATTGTCAAGTCAGTGGCACATAAACAGTTCCTTTATTCAATTATTTTCTTTTTGGCTTAGTTCTTTTATTAATCTGGGGTCGCCACAGCAGAATGAACCATCAACTTATCCAGCATATGTTTTATGCAGCGGATACCCTTCCAGCTGCAACACATCACTGGGAAACACTCATACAATTCAGCTTACCCGATTCACCTATAGCACATGTTTTTGGACTTGTGGAGGAAACCGGAGCACCCAGAGGAACCCCACACGAACACGAGGAAACATGCAAACTTCACACAGAAATGCCAACTGACCCAGCCAGGGCTCAAACCAGGGACCTTCTTGCTGTGAGATAAACTGTTCTTAAAAAAAGCTAAAGCTAAAAGAAACATATAGTACAGTATTAAATTCCATAAAAATGACAAATACATAAAGAAGTGCAGCAAAATATGCTTAAATATCATGAAAAAATGCAAACAAATTAAAGTATTGATTGCAATATCTGATGGCATGAAAATATCTGATGGCATGTTTTTAAAAAAAAATTTCCTGTCACCAATGTGGTTTGTTGCCAGATACAGTAATTGCTATTCTATAATGCCAGTGTTTCCCTTATCATTACATAAGGGGGCGCCCCGCCCTCCCAATGGCTGTACCCGCCCCCCTTGAAGTCACATTAATTGTATTATACACATAGCGCCAGATCACAACTTTGTTTAATAAACAAGCTAAATAGCAATATGTAATATCTTATTTACACAACAGCATGTCATTTCTGTTCTGCGCTCTCGTCATTACAGCTAAAATATATACTGCACAGATGCAGACATCAAGTCTCGCGAAAGTTCAACAAACGAATGATAATCGCCTGAAAAATCGCACAAAATATTTTAATGATCATGCATGTATTCAGGCCTTTTTCATATATCAACCTATTTCCTATTTTATTTTTAAGTAAACAAGTATTAGATTTATTAATTTTCATCGATCATCATTTGCAATGTTTCCAAATTGCATTGTTTGTAATTATTCTGTGGCGGTTCATTCTGCTTTGGTGACCCCTGATAAATAAGACGCTAAGCTGAAGTAAAACGAATGAATGAATTATTTTCTGTAAAGCTGCTTCTGGCCATGACATGTTCACATCAAATATTTTTATAAGAGACATGTTTAATAAATGTCTCAAAAAAATGGGCCCAACATTTCTGTCGGGAGGCCCATTGTAACGCAGGGAGTGACACAAACAACTGAAGTTCGGATCCACGTGCAGGTTTAATAGAATCGTCAGGCAAGCAAAGGTCAATTCAGGTGCAAACAGATATATGCAGACAATCCAGAATCGTAGTCGAATAACAGGCAAGGATGTCAGACGGCAGGCGGCAAACAAGGACAAAAGGATAAGCTAGGCTAAGGATCAAAAACACGGCAAAGTCAGACAACGGAAACCGCGCTGTAATGTCACTATCAGTAAACAAGACTCAGCAACAGTGAGTGTTTCTGTGCTGTTTATGTAGTGCGGTAATCAGTCTAGAAGCAGCATCAGCTGTGGGAGTCTAATCAGTGGAGACTTGGAGCAGGCATGTGTGTGTGTGGCATGACTGAATATGTAGTCCATTTAGAAGCAGATTTGTAGTCCTATGTGTGTGTGAGTGTTTACCAGCGATCGCTGGTGATCGTAACACCCAATAAGATACATTTCAGTGACAAAAGCAGCACAGTTTGGGAATAAGAAAGATATAAAATAAATGTTCATTTATAATTTACAAACGGTTTTACAGTTCAAATAGTTGCTCAGTTATTTACTGCTGTCATTAAAAGACCATGACTCCTTTTGTCAGTGTGAGTCTGAACAGCCACGCTGCGTTGGGCCGCGTCAAGCCGCAGCCCCAATCCACAAATAGTAACTGATTTACATAATTTTTAAAAGTAAATAACTACCATTATTACCAGTATCTATTGCATTTTTTTTTTAAATCTAATTTGTCAAATGACAATAAAATAAACATAAAACATTGTACGCTAATCTACACTGCGGTGGAGAAAGTTTTATATGCTTTGACGTTGTGGCTTCGTCTCCTTCTTTAGTAGCAGAGTAGCCACTAATTTGATGGCTGTCGTGGTGGCCACGTGAGGTGCTTCATTAGATTAGAATTACTTGTCACCGCAGAAAGACAAGACAATTTCCTGAGCCTAAATTGCACAACACATAAACATTCTTGCCTTTCACTTCACCGAGGGAAAAGTAGTGCTTATATTTCTAGTTTGCAAACGCTACCTTTGAACTTGTTATATTTGCCATCGTTCTGACTCCTGGTCATTGGTGTGTGCCACTGACTGTGCATGCGCTTGTGTGAACACCCGTCCAACTCTGCCTCTAATTGGCAAACAATGGAAATGTACTCTAAGCCAATCATCACATTCCCAGTTACACCACATTCACAGACACACCAATCAACACACACAATCTACATCCCAGAGAAAGAGATCGGTCATATGGCTTAGAACAGGGGTAGCTAACCCTGTTCCTGGAGAGCCACCTTCCTGCAGATTTCAGTTGCTACCCATATCAAACACACCTGCGTGTAATTACCATGTGGTGTTCAGGTCCTAATTAATTGGTTCAGGTGTGTTTGATATGGGAAGCAACTGAAATCTGCAGGAAGGTGGCTCTTCAGGAACAGGGTTGGCCACCCCTGGCTTAGAAAGATGCAGCTTGCATGGAAACCACTTCAGTCTTCTCAATTATAGTAACGCACATTTTATTGTCAGTAACGGCAACTGTGTTGTAACTGGGGAAACAGTAATTCAATTGATTGTTGCTTGTTACTGAAAACAATATTGCTATTAGTATCGCTGCTTATTTACAGCACCGTTTTCCCCATCACTGATTAGCTCAGACTACTGTAAGATTTCAGTTACTGAAGTAAATGTCTTCTGGTAAATTCAGGGCCTGGCCTCTAAACGTGGCCATATGCCTCAACTTCCTTGTTCTCCATTTCCTCCCATGTGTGCTTTCAGCACTGATAAGCTGTTATCTTTATCTCAATGTTATGATGATTGCTTTTCCTATATGTGTCACTGCTGCTCTGCTTCTGAGGCCTGCTCTTAATTTTTTTCTCTCTGTGTGTGTGTGTGTGCAGCTTTCATCTGAAGCCCTAAGAGGAGCCATTCAGCTCGGCATCGGCTACACCGTCGGCAATCTGACCTCCAAACCAGACAGAGATGTGCTCATGCAGGACTTCTACGTGGTTGAGAGTGTTTTTCTACCAAGGTAATAATGTGCACGTACTGTGCTTAAGACTGGACAGATTTCCTTGACCTCATGCTCAAACACTGACATACTGTGGCTGTGTTCTAACTGTTTGCTCCAGAACTAAATCAGTGGTGTAGCTTGATATATTTATTACACACATTTGAATGATGATATTTAAACCTGATTTAGGCAAAAGGAACCCAAGAAGAAATTCAGTTTGAATCGCAGAGATCAAATCATTTTTGTTTTAATTATCTTGTGAATTTGTGAAAGGAATAGTTCAGCCAACAATGAAAATTACCCCATCATTTACTCCATTTTAAGCCATCCTCGATGTATATATGACTACAGTATGGAGTATGTATACAGTTGGAGTAGTTTAACATTTTATTTAAAATTTCATTCTGCATAATCAACCCAGGCTCATTCTGAAAACGTTATCCCGTAGACGTTTCTGGAGACTGTGAAATACGTGCCAGGAGGTACCTATGGCTGTATTTGTTTTTTTAAAGCGAACGCTACGGGGCGGTATGACGCCGTTCCTTTTCGCGCTTACTGGCTGACCGCTTACCTCCATGTGGAGGGCTTTCCTGCCGCAATCAGTTTGTCCGGTCAGGTCATCGTGTACGTAGGCAGACTTGACCAGAGGCAGCTGACATGAGCCAACAACACAGTTGGATTTAACTCACTACCTATTTGATGTCGGTTTGGTGTGGCTATAGTAAAACCAGCATTGTTGTTATTAAAGCCATCTATACCCTGAGCATGAGATCTTTTCTTCATCAGAGGAAACCTCAAAACTCCAAACCTGAATTTACACTTTTCGAAATCTTTGACTAAAGATTAAAGTCTGTTAAAAAATGAATGAGGTTTATTTTGCTTGCTCACACTGTTATTCTTAAGGTGAATAATTAATCCATGCAAGCTAATTCACTGAATAGATTAGTTTGTTGTGGTAATTTTCAATGAAAGTTTGCTCACTTGCTTTTCCGTTTAAAGTGGCAGTGCTTCTATTGACATCAACCTGAGGGCTTCCATAGCAACTGCATATTAGGTTTGCTTTTAGGGAATGATACGCAAAGGAAAGCTCCTCCCCCTACTCAATATTCAGTTTCAGTTGGAAGTACATCTACATACTGAAATAAAGCTCTCAGCAACTAGTTTAGACTTTAAGATTACTTTTATTGTATTGTAAGATTTTATTGTAAAACATTTTACACACTTGTCCAATCCTACGCAAAGCATGTTGACAACTACTGTTAGTTATCCCAACTAAAAATCTCATTGTTGTCCCAACACTAAGCAAAACAAATTAAAGTGGTTTGAACTTAATGTGAATAAACTTTCTAAAAAAAGTTAAAAGTAATTTAAACAAGCAACAAAAATATCTTTTGGAGCGTATGCTGTTCTGTTGTAGTTGATTTAAGTTTGTGTGTCCTTTGATGCACTATTAATCCGTTTAGCTGAATGTCTATTGTTATTGGTTGATCAATAGTTTTTGGTCATTGTGCTTTTTGTCTTTCAGTGAAGGAAGTAATCTCACCCCGGCTCACCATTATCCTGACTTTCGCTTCAAAAATTATGCGCCTTTGGCTTTTCGATATTTTAGGGAGCTCTTTGGGATTAAACCAGACGATTATCTGGTAAGACCAAAACACCATGGGTGACTTACTGAACTGATACAGTCATGACTGATGAGCACATTGTTTATTGTTTCAGCAATCCTAAAATCCAGATAGTAAGCAGGTCATTCTGAGTAAACAGTAGCATTCGCACACACACAAAAAACAATTGTTTGTTGTAAGCGCATTACAACTGAACTTTCATTAAATCATGTTTTATTGAAAAGGTTTTACAATTAAAATGTGATGTGGATCAACATTCGGCTGAGTTAAAATGTATATAAAATTATAGCTAAATAAGTTGAGCGCTTTAATATTTAAAGCATTTTTTCATTAAACCTGGATTGTTATATTTTACTGAAACTAAAACCATAAAAAATGTATGTATATATATATATATACAAATTAACTTGAAGGTTTTATTTATGATTTTGTTTACATAATTATTACACTATAGAGTAAAAGACTAACTTTCTTATAAAAAAAAACTATATAGAAATATTTGAAATATTTACAAAATCTAAACTCACATTAAAAATACATTTAAAACAAAGCATCCTATAAATTATATTAGTTCAAAGTCATGGGAACACAAATAATGCTGTGCTATTTTTGTATTTCTATAACATTTATTCATTCATTCATTTTCCTTTAGCTTAGTCCCTTGTTTATCAAAGGTCGCTACAGTGGAATAAACTGCCAACTATTCCACCATATGTTTTATGCAGTGCATGCCCTTCCAGCAACAACCCAGTACTGGAAAACACCCATACACATACACATTCACTCACACTCATACACTACAGTTAATTTAGCTCATGCAATTCACTTATACCACGTTTTTGGACTGTGGGGGAAACTGGAGAACCCGGAGGAAAGCCCTGCAATTTCAACTGGTCCAGTCGGAACTTGAACCAGCGACTTTCGTACTAACCACTGAGCCACCGTGCCGCCCATATTTATTCATTCATTTTCTTGTCGGCTTAGTCCCTTTATTAATCCAGGGTCGCCACAGCAGAATAAACCGCCAACTTATCCAGCAAGTTTTTACGCAGCGGATGCCCTTCCAGCCCAACCCATCTCTGGGAAACATCCACACACACACTCATACACTACGGACAATTTAGCCTACCCAATTCACCTGTACCGCAGGTCTTTGGACTGTGGGGTAAACCGGAGCACCCGGAGGAAACCCACGCGAACGCAGGAAGAACATGCAAACTCCACACAGAAACGCCAATTGAGCCGAGGATCGAACCAGCGACCCAGTGACCTTCTTTTTTTGAGGCGACAGCACTAGCTACTCCGCCACTGCTTCGCCCATTTTATTCATAATATGAATAGTATTATAATTAATAAATTGTGTAAATATTTTTCTAAAATATTTTTCAAGTTTATTATATACATATTATTATAAAATTTTATAATATATAAATAATTATAAAGTGTTTATTCTTTTGATCATTACTTTTTTTAAATAAATTAATACAGTATTTATATTTTATCTGATTTGGTTCGCATCAGTTTTAGTTTTTCGAGAACATTACACTGAAACACAATCAAGCAAGTGTATTTGTGTGTGTGGTTTCTGTGGAATCTGCATTATTAATACATCTCTTTTATCTGCAGTACTCCATTTGTAAAGAGCCTCTGATCGAGCTGTCGAACCCTGGAGCGAGCAGCTCATGGTTTTATTTAACCAGTGACGATGAGTTCATCATAAAGACGGTGCAGCACAAAGAAGCTGAATTTCTGCAGAAGCTGCTTCCAGGATACTACATGGTGAGCCACACAATCCACAACAACACTTACAAGAACACAGGAAGACAGCACAATACACAACATGTCTTTAGCAACAGCTCATTTGTTTTTTTTTTTTATTTGAAGCATGTTGGTTATATTTATGTAAGATATAAATAACAATTTTGCATCCTTGTATAATAACATCTCAATAGTTTCATGGTTTTGTTCACATTATAAATACAGGACATTCATAAAGGGCTGTCGGTTAAATAAATGAATTATTAATAGTTGAGTATTGAGCATGTTTTCATGATTCTTTGATGATTAGACAGATCCAAAAAGCAGGGTTTATATGTTATAATAATTCTTGGTCACACTTTATTTTGATTGTCCATTTGTTGAATATAAGTTACACTGCATCTACATGCCAACTAATTCTCATCAGATTATAAGTAGACTGTTGGGGTTAGAGTTGGGGTAAGGGTAAGTATAAGTGCTTGCAAAGTGCAAGTACATGTACAGTTGAAGTCAGAATTATTAGCCCCCCTGAATTATTAGCGCCCCTGTTTATTTTTTCCCCCAATTTCTGTTTAATGGAGGGAAGATTGTTTCAGCACATTTCTAAGCATAATAGTTTTAAATACTTGTTTCTAATAACTTATTTATTTTATCTTTGACATGATGACAGTAAATAATATTTTACTTGATAATTTTCAAGACACTTCTATACAGCTTAAAGTGACATTTAAAGGCTTAACTAGGTTAATAAGGTGAACTAGGCAGGTTAGGGTAATTAGGCAAGTTATTCTATAACGATGGTTTGTTCTGTAGACTAACGAAAAAAAATTAGCTTAAAGGGGCTAATAATTTTGTCCCAAAAATAGTTTTAAAAAAATTCAAAACTGCTTTTATTCTAGGCAAAATAAAACAAATAAGACGTTTTCTAGAAGAAAAAAAATATCAGACATACTGTGATTATTTCCTTGCTCTGTCAAACATCATTTGGGAAATATTTAAAAAAGAAAACAAAAATCAAATGGGGGCTAATAACTCTGACTTCAACTGTACTTGCAAAGTTTCTTATAGTCAGTTAAATGTCTGTTGAAGGAGCTGTATCAGCAGATATTAAGCAGACAGTTTATTAATACTCAAATGGACCATTAAAATAAAGTGTTACTGAATTGTTTGTAACATTATACACTATACTATACCATTCAACAGCTTAGCCAGTATCTTTTTATTATTCTGTAAAGAACTTATCTAAATGAATACATTTATTTTGCAAGGATCATTAAAATTTGAACAGACTTGATGATAAATATACATTTATAATGTGACATGGTATTAATTTTAAATGTGCTGTTCTTCTGAACTTTCTATTCACCAAAGAAATGTAATTAAGTCTGTTTTTTGAGCAGCAAATCAGAATATTAGAAGGATTTCAGAAGGATCATGTGAATGGAGTAATGATGCTAAAAATTCAGCTTTGAAATCACAGGAATAAATTAAACATTTAAATATATATTCAGATAGAAAACTGTTTGTAGCGAGTGGGCAGGCCTGAGAGCTGTGGTGTGATAATGTGAAGTACCCGTGTCGTGCACTGGCCTCGAGCTCTGGGTTATAAAAGAAGGAGAGACAGCGGTGGAAGACGCGAGAGGACCAGTAGATGCTTTATGTTTTGCTTTTGGTTTCAGTTCGATGGCAGTCTCTGTAAGGAGCTTCAGTCTGTTTGTTTTATTCATTCATATTTTTATCCAGCACGTTTTTACGCAGCGAATGCCCTTCCAGCCACAACACATGACTGGGAAATCTGTTAATTTTATTTTTTATTATTAAAATCATTTAAAAATGCATTTGTTCTCTGCCTCCTTCTTCACAAAGGCCAGGAGGCCAGTAACTTTATTACACTGTTTTTCTTAATCATATCAAATCTTTACAATTATTGCTGTACTTTGGATCAAATAAATGCAGACTTACTGAGCAGAAGAGATTTCCTATTTAAACACATTAAAAATCTTACTGTTCTAAAACATGTCCCTCATAATGCATTGAAATTTTTACATTTATGTCTGTATTCTGCACTCATATACAGTCACATTTTTGAAAAAATTAATTTTCACAATTTTTAAATTGTAAAAAATCTAAGAAAAATATTACTCCTGAGTTTTCTGAGAGTTTTTAAATATTTGCAAAGTTTCTTTCATTTAATAAAAACTCTTTATATTATATATTCTTTATATTCTAATATGAACTATATTCCATCAAGCCAGAAATTATTAATTTCCCCAGGGGTATGAATATTTTTTAGACCTGACCTCATCTGGGTCAGAAGAGAAGGTTATATTTAAGAGAATAATTAATGCATTTATCTTTTAGTAGTTTTGGTTGGTAAATAATATTTATCTTGAATAATATTAATAATAATGCCTTGTTTTTTTTAATTTCATGTTCATTTCTAGCTTGAAAACCTAATCTCTGTGTCTCAAATGCAGAATCTGAATCAGAACCCCAGGACGCTCTTACCGAAGTTTTACGGGCTTTACTGCATTCAGTGTGGTGGAATGACCATCCGACTGGTGGTGATGAACAATGTTCTGCCTCGATCTTTAAAAATGGACTACAAATATGACCTGAAGGGCTCCACTTACAAACGCAGGGCCTCACGCAAGGAGCGCGCCAAAAGCTCCCCGACCTTCAAAGATCTGGACTTCCAGGAGATGCACGAAGGGCTTTATTTTGACGCAGACACGTACAATGCCTTAATGAAGACGCTTCAAAGAGACTGCAGGGTGAGTCAGGCTTATGAACAATTAAACTGTTTTAGACTGTTTTAGATTATAATTGGTGCTTTCCATTACCCTTCAAATTGCACAAAATATCCATAGATGTTAAAAAAAACATTTTGATTTGTATGTTCGTGTGTGGCAGTTGATTTCAGGTCATTTGTTATGTTAAAGGGGCAGTGGGTGATTGTCTTCAGAAACATTTTTTGTTGTGCTGGTTGAAAGTCTCTTCACAGTTCAATAGTAATTATTACAGAAAATGATCTAAATGTATTCATATGTATTTTTATATTATGGGTAAGGCATAACACTAAAAAATGTTCATCCAATTAAATATTGTCGGGCCGACATCTCCCACAAATCCCATAAGCAGCCCAAACTAGTGATGGGTTGTACATGAACGATTCGTTCATTTTGAACAAATCTTCAATATGACTCGGGAACTATGAGTTCTCTCAGGGAGTGATTCGTTCATCTGCGCGTGCGCACATTTGTGCAGGTGGTATCGTTCATTTCAAGTCTTTTGAGACATATGCGTTTAGAGCCGGAAAAAGAATTGATCCGTTGATCTCTCGAGTCCTCTAACGGGTCTGAGTCGTTCATTCATCACGGGCCAATCATATGCGTTTAGAGCTGCAAAAAGAATTGATCCATTCACCTCACGAGTCCTCTATCGGCTTTGAGGCATTCATTCATCACGGGCCAATCATATGCGTTTAGAGCCGGAAAAAGAATTAAACCGTTCATCTCTCGAGTCCTCGGGTTTGAATCATTCTGTGACGTGATGAACAAACGACTCAAGAGCCAGAAGACTCGAAAGGTGAACTAATTATCATGGCTCCTATCGGCTCAGACTGTGTACTTTGGTTAAAAATATATGTGACTGTCAGTGTAACGTGAACGAACCACTGACATTTGAAGACATAAAGAGGTGAGCTGAGCAAAGATACAACAATACCTTCATAGACAAAAGAGCAGGTAATCATTGAGTTATTATTTTCTCCTTCTTATAGTATTTTTATTAGGACTTATTTGTCATGGGATCAACCTTTTGGGCTAGTTGTAGATGTGTTTGGAAGCAATTCGTAACATTTTAATAAACTTTTGGCAAATTGAATCAAATGAACGAAATGACTGGAAAAAAGATTCGTTCATCTCGATTAACGAGACTCAAAGATCTGAGTCAGTTAAACTGATCTGAACTTCCCATCACTGTGGGAATATTATTCGGACTGCTGCGCATCCGTCCACACAGATACATCATTCGCATGTTCCCGCCTGCATAAGCGCCGCGCGTTCACAAGACAATCACAGACCGGGAAATCAAATGCTGAGTTGAAACTTTTAAAAATCTTGAATCAATATTGGAGTTACTTTTGCACGCTGGAGGAAGGACGACACCATAGCTGAAGTATTACTATTAGACAGGTAATGTTCTGTTTTAAAACTGTTTTAATCAGGCTAAGCTTATGTTAGATTGTGTTGTGGTATGAATGGCTTACATGCACAGATGTGTTGTTCAGCCACTGAAATCTCCCAGCAAAAGATTTATGTGACTATTTTCAGTTTTATAAGGGACCTTTGACAGCATCGATAATGTAGAACTAGTTTTAATCTCGTAACACTTTTCACAATACTTTTTTGGTACCACTTTAGTTAAGGTCACAATTCATGCTATTAACCACTAGGGATGGGTACCGTATTAGTGCTAAATTATAAAAGACCGAAGTATTGATAAGCTCTGATGTTAACGGTTCTGTTATCGGTACTGGATAATAATTGCTGAACAAACATCACTTACAGTAGCATAAATCACCTGACCAACCTTTTCTAATTTGCGATATTTTATAATTGTCTGCACAGTTGGCAATCTTACATGAGAAATGCTCTTGTTTTCGCCCAATTGTACAACGGCGAATGCGCTAAGTATAAAAGCCTTCACAGTTCTCGGTTGTGCGTGCACACTCAGCCGAGACTGGTGCTAAACGCACACACATAGCTCGCGCACTCACAGCTTGTAAAATTGCGGAGTAGTGGAGAGAACAAAACTCCAAGTGAACAACAACAATGGCCATTGCAACAAGCGTAACAATTTGTTTTCTTGTACAGTATAGGAGGAAACGCAAGCAATCTGGCTAAGCATCTTTAAAAAGTGTATTAACAGCAGAAAGTAAAATGCTAAGTTTTCAACTGCCTAGCTAGATGTACATCATCTACATCCTTATGCTAGCAGTCAATCCCATGAGGTCTCTCTAAATTAATATAATGTTAATAGTTTAATGAACACACATTTAGTTACATTGAAAACTGTATTTTTTTTCTGCAGTAGCCTAAATAAATCTTAAACATAAAAAATGCTTTTACATTACTTTATTTACAAATATAGTCTAAGAATAGCCTAATAATACACTATGCTTATTAATAAATTATATATATATTTTTTATATTTTTACATTGTTAACTCCCAAAACACTGTTAACTCATTTATGTAAATGTGTTAATGAAAAATATTACACATTATCTGATTATTTAACTGCCTTTTGCAATGCCGAGAGGGTATTTTGCAGGGAGCACAATAAAGCAAGAAAGGTCCCGACTTCTGGCAGAAAAGGTAAACACGTTGATTTTTCTCCAGTCATTTTCTTCAAACCATTGTAAATTCTTTTACAGGAATTTTTTTTAATTATTTGTTTTACAATTATTGGTTTTGTTTTATTTTACATTAAAAGCATAATGATAAAAGAAAGTGTTGTTAATTCTGTTCAATTAGTTTTTTGTTTGTTTTTTCATAAAAACAAAAAAAAAAAAAACACAAAAAGTACCAATAAGAGAACCGTTAAAGTACCGAACCGATAAGTGGTATCGATAAAAGTAGTAATACCATTTAAACCTTAACAATACCCATCTATATTAACTACTGGCTTATTACCTCCCTTTTATTAAGATATTAACTGTTCATTAGTAGTTCAAAATACAAACCCAACTTATAGCTTACTAACTATTAATAAACAGCTAAATAGAAGTTTATTAAGCTACAGTATCAGTGTTAGTTAATGGTTTGTTAATACTGTGAATTGTGACAAACTAAATCGCCATTTAGTAAACAAAAGTACTACTTTATAATGGAAACGGGCCTTGTGATTATGGTTAACTGTGGTTTTGTTGTTCAGGTTCTGGAGAGCTTTAAAATCATGGACTACAGTCTGCTGCTGGGCATCCATGTTCTGGACAGGAGGATACGCAGAGGAGGCAGAGGGGACAGCAGGCGTCAGGGGACACAGAAGGTGCTCTACTCCACCGCCAGAGAGTCCATTCAAGGAGACGGTAAAGCTCCTGAACCGGTCGCTGACGCAGATGACGAAACGTGAGTTCAGACGCTCACTTTTACAGTAAACTCAAATTAAGGACACCGAAAAAGATTTAAGATGCTTTGAAAACTTTCACTGCTGTGTGTTTTTCCATCGAGACATGTCAGCCAGTCTGGGTATATTTATGTACACTATCAAATCTTTTTTTTTTTAAAAGACAGTAATACTTTTAACTTGAAAGAATGCATTAAACTGATAAAAATAAAAAACATTTGAGATGTTCACAAAACACAGGAGGCACAGTGGCTCAGTGGTTATCACTGTCGCCTTATAGCAAGAAAGTCACTGGTTTGAGGGTGCTCCGAATCGAGCCCAGGCGTGGTTTAGTTGGCCAGCCCTGGCCCGGTTGGACAAGGTGTGCCAGAACAAGGTTCGATTGGGCTTTGGTGTGGTACGCTTGTAGTAATAATGTTGCTAATTCAGAATCAGGAATAAACTTCATTTAAAAACATTACAAAAAAATATACAAAAACTTTAATTTGAACATGAAAAGTAAAAGATTAACCTAAAATTAGTTTAAATTATTATGGAAAATTAGAGCTGCGGTGATAAATCAAATCACAAAATGAATCTGCATCGATTCTAAAAAAATTGCATGCAATAATGCATTCTATACAGTGCCCTCTGCTGGCAAAAAGCTAATCTTAGAATTGCACCGTATTCTCAAAATCCCAGTTTAATTATCATTCATTCATTCATTCATTTTCTTTTCAGCTTATTCCCTTTATTAATCTGGGGTCGCCACAGTGAAATGAACCTCCAACTTGTCCAGCACATATTTTAAGCAGCGAATGTCCTTCCAGCCACAACCCATCACTGGGAAACACCCATACACTCTCATTCACACTCATACACTACGGGCAATTTAGCTTACCCAATTCACCTATACCTCATGTCTTTGGACTTGTTGGGAAAACCCGGAGGAAACCCACGCGAAAGCAGGAAGAACATGCAAACTCCACACAGAAATGCCAACTGACCCAGCTGACACATGAACCAGCGACCTTCTTGCTGTGTGGCGACAGCACTACCTACTGCGCCAATGTACTTTTACAAAGTAATGAAGTGCACAGATACATCATTTATAATAAGCATTACTATAGAAATATAAGAATTAGGAGAGCATTTTTTTATTTTATGGTGACTATACATCAAGTATGCAGTAAATTGATACAATTTATTTCTTATCTTTACATTTATTAAAGAGTTCAGATTTTTTTAAATATATAAAAAAGGTTTGACTGTTTGTAATATTATTAATATGATTTATAAAGTCAAATTTATATTACATTATATTACTTAAATAATATATTTCAGTTTTAATTATTATTCATTCATTCATTCATTGACTCATTCATTCAATTTCCTTTAGCTTAGTCCCTTTATTTATCAGCGGTCGCCACAGCAGAATAAACCGCCAACTTATCTAGCATATGTATTAAGCAACGGATGCCCTGGGAAACACCCATGCACTCTTGCATTCACACACATACACTACGGCCAATTTAGTTTATTCAGTTCACAAATACCACATGGGGACTATAGGGAAACCCAGAGGAAACCCAAGCCAACATGGGGAGAACATGCAGACTCCACACAAAAATGCCGACTGACCCACCCGAACCAGTGACCTTCATACTATTTGGTGACAGTGCTATTCACTGGGCCACCACGCCGCCTTTCTATTATTAATAATAACTTAATGATTGAAATACTTTTGAATGATATTGACGGCCATTCTGAAGTGTGCTGAGCCCCCCTAGTGGGTCCTGGACCCCTGGTTCAGAATAAGTGCTCTAAACCACTTCCAGTGCATTTAATGATTGACTTTGGGATTAGTTTTGAAATAAATAATCATGTTTGTTTTTTTTGCATCTAGATTGGGTGGCATCCCTGCTAAACACAAAGATGAGAAGTTGCTGATCTTTTTGGGGATCATTGATATCCTGCAGTCCTACAGGTGTGAATCACCCGACACAAAATGCCAATAATTACTCATGCTATCTATTAAAATTGCTTAAATTATGGATACTGACGATTTCTGTCTTTTACATATAGATTTATAAAGAAAGTTGAGCACTCATGGAAGGCTCTTGTGCATGATGGTGTATGTATTATTTCAGTTTATTGTTCTTACAGTACATAAATCTATTTTATCATGTTGATATATATACATATATTTTAACTTTGCACACTAGGATACAGTATCCGTCCATAGACCCAATTTCTACGCTGACAGATTCCTGAAGTTCATGGGCAGCACAGTATTTAAAAAGATTCACCGTAAGTTAAGCGATGCTTCATTATTTACAGTGGAATTCAGATAATCAGTTGAAAAGCTGAAACATTGACTTGTTTGTTCTTTCAGCTCTCCGCGGTGCGTCCTCGAGACGGAAGAAAAGCTCCATTCACGTGTGTAGATCGGCCTCACAGGAAGTTCTGTCGACAGTAAAAGAGGAGAGTCAAGATGAAAGAAGAGCACAAAGTCTTGAAAACCTCGATGATTCAGGTACTGACTGCAAACTCACTTAAGGCAAGGCAAGTTTATTTATGTAGCACATTTCATGCACAATGGTAATTCAAAGTGCTTTACATAAACAAGAATAAAAGAAACAAGAAAATAAAAATGATTATAAAAATGATTATCTGACTGATCTGTTATGCTGAGTTCAGACTGCAGGATTTTCAAAATAGTCGTGTCACAGATGTTTTCACAAAGCATGACTATCTGGGCCAGCGTTTTGTAGCTGCTTTGTTTACACTGCAAGATGGATCGCGATAGGGGCTTTCACATTGCATGACTTTACAATAGGAAGAATCGCCGACAACTTCATCCAAACTACATCTCACAGCCAAAAACACGGAGTATATCTTCGGTTATGAACTACATACTGAGAAAGAAGCCTTTAATGGGGTAGAAAATGTAAGTATTTGCTCACCTGGGTTTGACTCAACTTTTGTTTTTTAACTTTATGTATGAAACATCAGACACGGGTGCTCCTGTCTAACCTCCACTAGTTTTTCCTGCACTTATTGGGTCGAAATAAACTAAAAATGAGCGCTTTTAACTTCTCCCTCAACCTCCCGCTGGCCTGCAGGTACACACACACAAGTGAATGCTGCTCTCTCATTGGCTGTAGGCGATCGCCGATGTTATTTTCAGCCAAAACTCATTTCACACGGCATGATTTGAATCGCAGACAGCTCCAGATATTTAGCAGGGCACATATCTCACAAGCATCGGCGACTTATCAGCAATTCTCGCAGATCGCGTCTTTGATAGTTCATACTGTGTGATTGTCACTCACGCGCATGAGCACCGATTTGCCTGTGATTTCAGGCATTTGTTAGCGATTTCTCAAAAGCTGTCGGTGAGTCAAAAATCAGGGCTAAAATCATGCAGTCTAAACTCGGCAATAGGTTTCTGGACTTTATTTTTTGTATTTTTCGTACATACTTAGCAGAGTATCTGAAAATGTATTACATGAAAAGACTGGATGTGAGAATAGTAATGATTTCCCTTATCGCCTATGTGTGAACAGCTTGTAAGCACAACAATTTAAAATTATTAAATGACATATTAATCTTCTTAGATTGTCTATAAAAGTCTTTAGACTGGTTTTTAAAACTGATTTTTTTTAATATATGTAAAGAACTGCTTTTAGAAATTATAATATTAATAAAATATTGTAAAAACCCACTTTAAGTCATTGGGCCAAGTGTGCACTTTCAGAATGGTGTAAAAACAACATTAAATGTATTTTTTTAAGTGCAATATATAATAATTTACAGTATATAAAAGTAAATAGAGCCAAATTAAATAATGTCAAGCAGAAAAGACATTAAAAATGTGTTTGTTTTTGCTCAAGGTCTCAAGGTTCTTGTTTGAAGCATGTATAGAGCAACATTAGATGTCACAATTTTTGTTAAATTATCTTTAGATTAAGTGCTGTTTCCACATAATTTTTTAGCATATGTTCTTGTATATATCATAATAATAATAAACTGAAAATCATTTTGGGCGGTGTGGTGGCGCAGTGGGAAACGCTGTCACCTCACAGCAATAAGGTTGCTGGTTTGAGCCTTGGCTGGGTCAGTCAGTTTCCCCCACAGTCCAAAGACATGCGCTATAGGTGAATTGGGAAGGCTAAATTGTTCATAGTGTATGTGTGTGAATGAGAGTGTATGGGTGTCTCCCAGTGAAGAGCATCCGCTGTATAAAACATTTGCTGGGTAAGTTGGTGGTTCATTCCGCTGTGGCAACACCAGATTATTAAAGGGACTAAGCCGAAAGGAAAATGAATGAAAATTCTTGTGCCATTTATACTAGTTTTGTTACGCTTACGCCTTTCATCCACATTATTATGGCATCTGACCTATGAAAACGAAGTGCTTTGAAAACATTGAAGACCCCATGTTAGTTTTCTGTTTCAGTATAGATGGATCAAAACACAGACTTTTGAAAGCGGAAGCATAGCTATCCACAAACACTCTCTGATTGGTTTTCAAACATAACATTTTTAAAATGTCAGTGGTTCTGGGTTTAAAACGAATCATTTACAATTTCGGTGTTTTTAAGATGCTTCATTTCTTCTCCACAGAAGAAACACACTCCTGTCAGAAACCTGATGTTATTCCTAGCTCGGCCGGACTCAATCCAGCTGTTTCTGCGGCCACTTTATCTTCTGCTTCATCTTTAGACGATGTGAAGGCTGAAGCGCAGACAGATTCAGAGAGCAGGTATTTACCAGACACACACACACACACACTTTCCCATCAGACACAAAGTAGATCTTTGTGGACTTCCATATTTTCCACAGCGCTTCCTCTTTTACAGTGTAAAGGCTGCACACTTTCTCTTTTAAACTGGTTTGACTGTGTTTTTTGTCCTCAGAGATGATTGCAGAGCATCCAGCTCAACTCTTGCTTTGGAGGACAGTGCTCTTGCTTCTTTAAACTCAGCGCCAAGCACACCCGAGTCTGGTCTGGATGTCTACCTGGTCAGTAGTTGAAGACATAATCCATGCTCATTTGTTTCATTTAGGGCAGTGGTTCTCAACTGGTTTGGCCATGGGACCCACATTTTTATATGGTCCTCAAGTTGTGACCCAAATTTTTAGGAACTATGATATCATTTTAGGAATTATAATTATTTGTTAACATACACATGTAGTGACAGATACTTGTGAAAAGTTCAGCTACCATTAATTAAACTGAACTGTTAATAAAACAATACACTGATCTGGTTAAACAGAACAAACCAGCAAATTAAAGTAAAAAGATTAAAATAATCATAACCATTTTATAATAATCACCAGTTATTTGCTCTTCTGCTATTGTGTGGGCTTTCTTGGCCTTTGCTACACGGTGAGCACAGTAAGATGTGCGGAGTGCCTGTACTTGTTTTAAACATGAAGATGTTCGGCACTTTTGTGATGCCCTCAGCTATTGGAGTCGTCTTTGAAAATAGTCCACAGGTTTGTCCTTGCAACTGGGATGTTTGGTTTCCAAATGTAATTTTAATTTAGAAGGTTTCATGCTCTCTTGTGAGAGCACCTCACTACACACTGAGGCTTTAAGCCTTATTCGTCATCAATATATGTAAATCCATACTTTACATATTCGGGGTCTTACTTGCGCTTTAACATATTTGTTACTATTATTAAATAAAATTTGACATGTCAAACGGTACGGTTGTCGCACACGCATTTCAAAATAAAAGTCTGATATAAGCAAAATGAGTTAAAAATTCAACCTTTGTTGTTGTTTTTTATATCACACACTCCACGACCCACTGAAAATGTTCCTGCAACCTACTTTTGGGTCACGACCCACCAGTTGAGAAAAACTGATTTACAGCCTACTCACACTATGCTATCCGACCCGTGCCCAGGCCCATTTCCCGGATCGTTTGAGTAGTGTGAGGGCTCTGAATCGGGTTTAGGTACGGTTTACTTGGCCGGCCCTGGCCCTGGCCCTGGCGCGGTCATAACGTGGAGGGAGCTATGGCAGACACTACTCTCTCTATTCTACCGCAGTAGATGCGGATATAACTGAGGGCACAGGTGATGAGGGTAGTGTCGCGGACGCCGCCCTCTCTATTCTGCTGTCCTAGACACGGATATAACTGAGGGCACGGGTGGTGAGGGTAGTGTCGCGGACGCCGCCCTCTCTATTCTGCTGTCCTAGACACGGATATAACTGAGGGCACGGGTGGTGAGGGTAGTGTCGCGGACGCGGCCCTCTCTATTTTGCTGTCCTAGACACGGATATAACTGAGGGCACGGGTGGTGAGGGTAGTGTCGCGGACGCGGCCCTCTCTATTCTGCTGTCCTAGACACGGATATAACTGAGGGCACGGGTGGTGAGGGTAGTGTCGCGGACGCGGCCCTCTCTATTTTGCTGTCCTAGACACGGATATAACTGAGGGCACGGGTGGTGAGGGTAGTGTCGCGGACGCGGCCCTCTCTATTCTGCTGTCCTAGACACGGATATAACTGAGGGCACGGGTGGTGAGGGTAGTGTCGCGGACGCGGCCCTCTCTATTTTGCTGTCCTAGACACGGATATAACTGAGGGCACGGGTGGTGAGGGTAGTGTCGCGGACGCGGCCCTCTCTATTTTGCTGTCCTAGACACGGATATAACTGAGGGCACGGGTGGTGAGGGTAGTGTCGCGGACGCGGCCCTCTCTATTTTGCTGTCCTAGACACGGATATAACTGAGGGCACGGGTGGTGAGGGTAGTGTCGCGGACGCGGCCCTCTCTATTCTGCTGTCCTAGACACGGATATAACTGAGGGCACGGGTGGTGAGGGTAGTGTCGCGGACGCGGCCCTCTCTATTTTGCTGTCCTAGACACGGATATAACTGAGGGCACGGGTGGTGAGGGTAGTGTCGCGGACGCGGCCCTCTCTATTTTGCTGTCCTAGACACGGATATAACTGAGGGCACGGGTGGTGAGGGTAGTGTCGCGGACGCGGCCCTCTCTATTTTGCTGTCCTAGACACGGATATAACTGAGGGCACGGGTGGTGAGGGTAGTGTCGCGGACGCGGCCCTCTCTATTTTGCTGTCCTAGACACGGATATAACTGAGGGCACGGGTGGTGAGGGTAGTGTCGCGGACGCGGCCCTCTCTATTTTGCTGTCCTAGACACGGATATAACTGAGGGCACGGGGGGTGAGGGTAGTGTCGCCCTAGATGCAGTTATATCAATATAACTATTAACTAAAGAAATCTTCACTGTGCTGAGCGAGAGCGCTTACTGAACAGCGCATCATCGATGACGTAAGTGTGCCCATGCCAGAATATAATGTGAGTCCAGGCGGTCGGGGGAGACGGGAGGGGGGACAAGCCCGGTTTAAGGCAACTGTACATAGTGTGAGTATGCGCTTATTTGTTGCAGAGTTTACCTCTGACCCTGATTAAACTCCACTCAAACTCTTGCGAGATTCACACTTAGGTGAGATGTCACTTTTCTGATGCAAATCAGAATTACACTGCTTTAAAAAAAGTACTGGTCCGAATTTGGCTTATGTTTCAGACACTGTCTGTGAAACTGCAACATTCAGTATGTAGATTATTATATTACTCAAGTGTTTTTAACCTTAGATGGATGTAAACCTATTGTTGGAGTCTCCAAAACAAAATTGGGAACCTTTAAATAATATAATAAGGACATTCATTGTGTGTAGTTCCCCTGAAACTCCAACTCTTTTGTGTTATTGAGTCCAGATCTCTGACTATTGTGTTGCTTTTTTTAGTGATGCGTGCGGCTTTGAGAAGTGGACCAGCTCATCCGTCATCTAAAAGACTGAGAAACAGTACTGTCCGTCACTCCATGACTTTGCACTTTGGATACTGTTTGTCAAGCTGCTAAAACACACTGACTGAGAAAAGCCTTGCATCTGAAACAATGGTAGAGAGATTGCCACACTATAGTGCCTTACACTGTCTCTGCACTTTGTACCCAATTGCAAGCACAAGTTTGTTGTATAATAATAGTTACACTCCCATTTCGACCAGTGTCTTATGCACCGGTTGGTACATAAGGCGTGAACCCAGATTACGTGTCAGATTTGTATCATTTATTATATGATAATTGTGATTTAATTATATTTTGAGCACTCCTGACTTGTGTTGTGTTGAGTAATGATTGCATTCACTTATTTGATCATTACAGTACAATGACTAGTACTGAATATTAATAACATAGGCAACATGAAGTAAATATTGTGTTTTTTGGTCATGTGATTTTTGACGCACAATCAGCACAATGTAATGACATGGGATGGGGGGAGTTAATGGTCTGTGTTACTTAGTGTAAAGATTTACATGGCTTAAAAAAAACATGAATCTTTAAAAATGTTTTATAAAAATGTATTTAAATATATATTTTGATTAGAGTAATATATGAAATGTTTGTGCTTTTATGTAGAATGTGTTTAGTTGCTGTTATGCTATTAAATGCCGGATCTTTCCACTGTTTCTGTTGTGTGAATATTTCTTTGTGTAAAATAGGGCTGCAGAAGAGTTACAAGCTACACTCACCGGCCACTTTATTAGGTACACCTGAACAACTGCTTGTTAACACAAATTCCTAATAAGCCAATAACATGGCAGCAACCCAATGCATGTAGGCATGCAGACATGGTCAAGACGATCTGCTGCAGTTCAAACCGAGCATCAGAATTGTGAAGAAAGGTAATTTTCAAGTGACTGAATGTGGCATAGTTGTCGGTGCCAGACTGGCTGGTTAGAGTATTTCAGAAACTGCTAATCTATTGAGATTTTCATTCACAACCCTCTTTAGGGTTTACAGAGAATGGTCTGAAAAAGAGAAAATATCCAGAGAACGGGACAAATGCCTTGTTGATGCCAGAGGTCAGAGAAGAATGGCCAGACTGGTTCGAGCCAATTGAGCATCATGTCAGCGTCACAGCCTACCTGAGTATTGTTGCTGACCATGTCCATCCCTTTAAGACCACAGTGTACTCATCTTCTGATGGCTACTTCCAGCAGCATAACGCACCATGTCATAAAGTGTGAATCATCTCAGACTGGTTTCTTGAACAAGAAAATGAGTTCACTGTACTCAAATGGCCTCCACAGTCACCAGAGCTCAATCTTATAGAGCACCCTTGGGATGTGGTGGAATGGGAGATTCGCATCATGGATGTGCAGCCAAATAATCTGCAGCAACTGAGTGATGCTATCATGTCAATATGGACCAAAATCTCTGAGGAATATTTCCAGTACCTTGTTCAATCTATGTCATGAAGGATTAAGACATTTCTGAAGGCAAAAGAGGGTCCAACCCTGTATGGTGTACCTAATAAAGTGGCCGGTGAGTGTAATGCACCACTATTTTATTTTAACTTAAAATTATATATGATTTTTTAACATAATTATGTGTCACACGGGTCTTCATCTGCTACTGAAACGTTCAAAATCATTTTCACCAATGTGAATATTCTCATACAATCCTCCAGGGGGTGTTTTGGTGTTTGGTTTGGCATTTGATCTTAAATTATGAGTTGAAATTTTTGATTTTAAATGATCTAATAATAGATAATCTATAAAATTTTGCAAAATTGAACTGAATGTATTTATTATATATTTTAAAGACAATGCACCAATATTGTATATGATTAAAGACATATTTAGAATTTACAATAATAATAAAGGATTCAGAATATACTGATAATGTGAAATGTCTCACGATAAAATAATCACATTTAGAAACGATTTTTGTTTAGATAATAGGGATGATATTCTAGTTTTAATTTTTTTATTTAATCTTATTTTTATTTCATTTTAGTTAAGGTTTGTTTGTTATTTTATTATTTTTGTTTCTTTGTATAGTTTTAAATACTTAAATGTTTATCGATTTATTGTTAACATGTGTTAATATACATTTTAATTTATGTCAGTTAGTTCAAACAAAGTTTTAGTAGCCTGTATTTGTTTATATTTAGTATTTTCACACAGACACACAAACAAACACTAATAAAAAACAAGACTACAAAGAAAATGAAACAATAATCTAGCAACACAAGATCTCTCAGTACATTAAACAACTTAAAGATGACATCCTATTGATATGAATGTTTATAGAAGTCTTATTAAATCCACTGGTCAGAAAAAAAGGCTGCACGCCCAGGAATGAAGGTGTCACGTGGTGTTGGGAACGCGCTCGAACTCACCTGCGCGCTCATGAACACGCCTATACCTGGAGATTCAGGAAATCTGGGATTGTACACAAAAGTGACTTGTTCAATCTTTCTCTGTAAGTGTCCTGTCATTGATAAAACCCACTGCTGTCCTGTCTGAGTTCACGGAGCTTCTGTATCGGCGCCTCTAAAGGTACGTGCTTTTACTTTGGAGCAGTTTTGTTGTTTTGTCGCATTTCCGTTTACTGGTTTCGGTTGTCCATTGTTAAGCGGAGGAGGTGGATTACAATAATACTGTCACCGAAACACAAACAGCTGCTTTTATAAAGTACGCTACACGTTCATGTGGACTTTAGTAACGACTTGTGCTTGTTTTTGTCCACTTTTTGAATGTAGTTCTCGTGTTTTAGGCCTACAGTATGAAACTTCAGTGCTTTCCCTCCCTCTCACGTCCCATGTAAGGACACTGCAGTGCTGGAACGTGTCGTGCATTTCAGTTTGTAAACAAATCTAGTTTTGTTCGGGCGTAAAATAACCAGAGGAAAAGACGAGGTCGTTTAGACAAACTCTTTAAAATTGTATTTGGCATAGTTATGTTTATTTTACTTCTTCCAGACAACAACTTAATTGATCACATTTTAAATCAGGTGAGTTTGAGATAAAGTTGGTTTTATATTCACACATTCGTTCAGTGACAATAGTGTTATGCTCCTTATATTGTTTACTATTTTACTTTAAATATTCAATATGAAATAACTTCTAAGACTTTAAAACATCAGCACTGTTTATTTGATTTGAACATTGTTGTATTCTGAAATTCATTGTCTGTCTAATGATTTCCCTATTTAGAATTTGCAAAGAATAATTTTCTGAAATTGTATTTTTAAGGAGAACTTCAGAATGTGTGAATATAAAACCAACTTTTCCTTAATAGTGAGTTTTAACAGAAACCAAACAGGTTGCTCACCAACACTTGTTGATGCATTTAAAATCAAATGTTTTATTTTGCAAAATACAACATTTAAGTCTTTGTGTTTGGCTATGTGGGTAAAAGATAAACATTTTTTTCTATGGTATCAAAGACTGTAATATTCATTTATTTATTTTCTTGGCTTAGTCCCTTTATTAATCCGGGGTCGCCACAGCGGAATGAACCGCCAACTTTACTCGGCACGTTTTTACGCAGCGGATGCCCTTCCAACCCTTCTCTGGGAAAAAAGACTGTAATAGACTTTTATAATTTATTTTTGTTTGAAAGCACGTTCTTTCATATATTTTAGTTAGTACAGACCTGGGGTCTGTTCTTCGTACGTGGATTACTCGGCTAAATTTCATTCTTCAAAACTCATCTGAGACTTGTTGTCATAGCAACACTTCTGGTAGCTTAAACCTGCTTGGGAGCAGGTCCATTTCATATAAACTGGATTTGATTGGGCGTTTTCAAGCAAAGATAATACTGAAAGTATGTACCAAATGCTGATATTTTTTTTTACAGTAGTTATAATAGTAAATATACTATATGCTAAATATGCACTCTGAAATAAGAACAAAGTCTGCCACCTGGTGGTTCAAGGAGAAAATCTATTGATATGATCTTTTTAGATACAAACACGTACATTCACAATATTCAACTTTTTAAAAAAAGGATAATAATTTATGCAGTCATGCACTTTCTGACCACTAATATGCCAGTGATTGACATCTTTACCGAAATCAAAAAGTTTTTTTGATGCAAATTTATTTATACAGTTATGTCTTACGCCGATTAAAAAAACTTGTAGGCCTAGGCTACTATAATAAAGAAAATAAATGTAACGCTAAATAAATTGCTGAATTATAGTGTAAAGCCTGCAGTCCACAACAAATGTGAAAAAGTTATTGCGTATCATAATTAACAAACCGTTTACTACAACAATTTTTGTTATTTTTCTCACATGGTAATTAAATATTATTCAGATGATGTCATTATGCTGTTGTACCATCAGCCAATCATTGCATTGCTAATCATGATTTCTAGGATCTATAAATCAGTCCTACACAACACACTCGGAGATCTCAGATCAGTTCATCCAGACATTTTAATCTGATTCGCGAACTTGTTTGAAGAACCGAATTAGCCAGAGATCAGTTATCAAATTTTAAAAATGTAGGATCTGTTAGAACGGACCCCATATGTATGTTGTTTCAACTTAGGAAAAGTTGGTTTTATGTTTGCACATTTGGATATTCTCTTTAATATAATAATTTCAGAAAATATTTTTTGCAAATTGTAAACGGTGAAAACATATTAGCAGCCAATGACCACCAAAGTAGAAAATTGTTTACGGTCAAATAGATGGTGATAATGCGGTTTTGAAGTCATACTTTTATATTTTATATTAGTACGTTTGTCATTTAGATGACGTCCTGATATTGTTTGTATCTGAATATTCAGTCAGAAATCGCATTTAAATATGACTTCTAAACAATATTACCTCTATTTATTTGACTGTGAACCTTTGTTGTACTTTTAATAGTCATTGGCTGCTAATATGATATCCCTATTTAGACTTTGTAAATAACACTTTTCTGAAAATGTTTTATTGAGAATGTCAGAACGTGCAAATCGGAAAAACCCTTTTACCTCAATCTCACTGTCTGCATATCTGCATTTACAAGCCACTTTAATATATTACAGCTGTTTCACTACTTGGTATTGCAGTCAATCAGCCTATTACAGGGTCGCATCTCAATGATTTTATGCATGTGGATTTAGTCGACAATTTGCTGATTTCTCTACTGAAGTTCAAACTGAGCATTAGAATCAAAAAGAAAGGTGATTTAAGTGCCAGACTGAGTTTTTCGGAAACTGCTAATCTACTGGTATTTTCACACACAACTGTCTGTCTCTTGTGTTTATAGAAATGTTTAAGGGAAAACAGGAAAAAATAACTGAGCAGCAGGAGTCTGTTCTTTGTACCTTGCTTAAACAATGTAAGATGATTTGTTGAATTCTGGCAGGTTGAACTTTCTCAGAGGAACTGTAGCCTCTGCTATATTTCCTGTGGCTTCAATAACTGTATTTACTATCACTTCAAGCTATTAAAATTTACAATAAAACAAGGTGAATTGGTTTAGCTAAATTGTCCGTATTGTATGTGTGTGAATAAGTGTATGAATGTTTTCCAGTGACGGGTTGCAGCTGGAAGGGCATCTGCTGCGTAAAACATATGCTGGATAAGTTGGTGGTTCATTGAGCTGTGGTGACTTTAGATTAATAAAGGAACTAAGCCGAAAAGAAAACGAATGAATGAATCAATGAATGAAAAAAAAAAA